TTTATTATATATTTATATTATGTAACATTAATTATGTATTTTTATATAAATATAACATATGATTAATAAAGAACAAGTAAGTCTTGTAAAATAATTTAATTATAAACCACAAACTTCGCTAATAAATATTTGTTGATATTTATTTTCTAAAATGAATTAGTAGATTCGTTACATATATTCTGTATTATTATTTTCCAAGATTTTTCTATGTTAAAAGGTTCTAAAAGAAAGTTTTGAGTTTGTCTTTGGTTTGTGTTATTTGATATACTTGTGTTATTATTATAATTATTGTCCATATTATTATTGTTATTATTATTATTAATGTTAGTGTTAGTATTATTATTGTTATTAGTATTATTATTAATATTTTTAAAAAAATTATTTCTATTATTATCATTATTGTTATTGTTATTAGTTATTTAATTTATATTAATCATTATTATATAATATTAATATTATTATTTCTGTTATTTATGGTATTTCCCAATTTGCTATTGTTTGATTTTCTTTCAAAATTATTTACCCTTTCATCGATTTGATTTATTTTGTTGTTCATATTAATTATGGTTTCTTGAATTTTTTTCAACATTGTTGTAATTTCTCTGTTTGTTTCTTTTTCTAGTTAATTTACTACTAATTTGATTATTTTTTCGTCTTCATCTATTTCATTTTAGTTTGAAATTTCTTCTGTGTAATTTTCATTTTCATTGAAGATTGCCTCTTTTATTACTTCTACTCTTGTATTTAGTTCTTTCATTTTTTCATTTAGCTAATTTAATTATTAGCTAATATTTGTTAAAATGAATTTTATTTGATTATCTTCTACTGAATTTTTTATTTCTTTGTAGTTTCCTTGTTATTTAATGTTATTAGTCTGGTTTTGTTTAACTGCATTTGTGTATTCGTTTCCTTGAAAGGTAAATTTCTTTTTCATATTATTGAATGTTGATGATTAATATCTTTTATATATTCTTCCAAATTTATCAAAGGCTTGTTCTTACCTTTTTTTCCTATCCTGTCTCTGTTTATTTATTGGACAATTAGCGATCAGGTGATCATAGGCTTTATACATGTAACAAGTTTTTATTGATTTTAATAAAGGAGTTAAGTGATAGCCACTAATTATTATACTTCCTTTTAGAAATTCTTGTACATGTTCCTCTGATAGAAAGGTTGTAAATGCTATTTCTCTTCTATTTGCTCTAGAGTTTATAAGTATGTAGCATATTTCGACTCTTGATTGTTGAAATATAATTATTAGCTCTCTGGAGGTCATTCCTGATATTATTCCTACTATTTTTGTCACAAGTTATATTTTTTGATTTTCTATAAGTTATTAGTATATAACATTAGCTTATATTACTCTTAAACATTCTTCTCCTAAAATTATTACTTTTTGAATGAAAATTTCACATGCAATTTGTTGGTCTGAAAGTTGATCCAATAGGTTGTATATAATCTATTTACTCTCATTTTTGTTTTTTTTATTTGACTATACTGGTTGTTAATTGTTCTATTTATATCTTACCAGCTATATTTAATTGAAATATCCCATAGTTTTATGGTATCGTTTGCATTTCTTTGTATTCTTGTTTATTAAATAGAGCCTCTTTCCATTTTGGTTATTTTTCCTTGTTCTGTTATTTGTAATTCAATTTCTAAAGTTTTTTCTATATCTTTTTGTTGGAAAATGTCATAGTTGTATATAATTTTTTGTTTAATTTATTTAATTCTCATGAGATAGTAATCCATTTGACAAATTTTTCTATGATTTTTACTAAGTTATCAATTTTTTCTTTGGTTTCTTTGCATACAGGATATTTGTTTCAATCCATGCTTTATATCTCTTAGTATTCACTTCAACTCTCTATTTTTCTTGGTCCAAGAAGTTTTTGTCATTGTTAGAGTTAATCGATTCTAGATCTGATGAGTTTTTCTTGTCTATATCTTCTCTTGCTTTTCCTTTCCCTTTATTGTTAGTTCTTTAATTTTCATTTTCTTGATTTTCTTGTTATCTTTACTACTTTCAATTATCACTTCTACTTATTTTTATATGTTTTCTTGTTTTCCTTCTTGTTCTTGGTTTTCTTCTATAATTTCTTCTTCTTTCATATTAAGGGTTTCATTGGTTTTTGTTTCTTGGATTTTTTTCATAATTTCTTGAGTTTTCATCGATTTTTCTTTATTGTTTGTATTCTGACTTATAGCCTTTTTAGTTTTACTACATTTTTTGATTTCTGGGGACATTATTATTAGAGTTGTTTAAGATTTTTTTATGTTACTTTTTTTCTCTGAAAATTTGGTCTTGATAATTAGCAAAAAGAGTTACTTACTTAGATTGAACTAAAAACAGCTGAAATTATACTTAAGATTAACAAATGATTACTAAAGTTATCATATATAAAACATAACTATTTATTAATAAAAGATCAAATATGGTACTAAATAAATATAAAGATAATTATATTGTGCATCTACTGTAAAAATTTCAGATCCATATAATAAAAATTGAAGGAATTATTAACGTCTAAATTAAAATAAATAATTGTTAATTATTCCATCAATTCGAAAGATATTTACCTAAGATTTTTACAGTAAATATAAAATTATATTCTTTTTAAAGTTTATTAGCAATATTTATAATATTTACTTGTAAATATAAAGTTCTATTCATAAAAATGATTGTTTTATTTTGTTTTGTTTTGAGTGACTGATGTGATCTTGCTTTATTTTATTTAGATTATATATAAATTACAAATGAAGAAATAAAACTATCTAGAACTAGGTCTACCAATTAACCTATTGCTGTTGAAAATAAACTAATGTTTATTTTTAAAATTAGTAGGTTTCCACCGCCACAGTCTCACTAATGTCTAAGCTTAAAAA